AAGCCGGTCCTGTAGAGAAAATTCACTGAAAAATCGAATATCTCCATAAGGGTACGCCAACAGCCGCTAATATTTTAACCATGTTAGTTTCATGATGAGAGCTTTCATTTGACATAAAAAAACTTCAATGTTTTTGCTTATCACCTGAAACAGCTCCATTGTGAGTGCTGATTCACGTCGAGTCAGTTTACTATGATGCCGAAAACAATATAAACTGAGAGCTATTCGTTGAGTACTGATCATAGATTTTCTCTGCCCTTTTCTCATCAGAATATGAGCATAGTCAATCGAGCACTACTCTCAAACGCCCTTCGTCCTCTTCGAACTAATATTGTGCTAATTCCATTGTCATCAATAAAGAGTGAAACATTTTTCAAGGATAAATGATATTAATTTTCTTCGCATCAAAATAGATTTGATGACGATGATGATTGTGGAAATTAGATACTGATGTGGGATTACAATCAAGAAGGGCGTATAAGTATACGAATAAAAACGTCATATTCTATTTTATCAACAAAAATGAGATTATTCGCATTGATATTAGTAGTTTTGTTGGCTAGTTGGACATTGCCATGGGCATCTGGTAAAAATAACTATGCAATTTATTTTTCACATCCACATATCATCCTTTGCTTAGGTTCACAGTTGGATTGTTCGATTTACAATTCGAACAAAGCAATCATTCAATCATTACCATTTCGAGTTGACATCAATCCAAGTGTTAACCTTTCCGGTAGTTCTTATGTTCGAGTGGACTATGGAGGAAGAGTGACCGATTTGACTTTAACTATGGTAGACAGCATTCCAACATCAATATTTTGTCTGGACAGTTTAAAATCATTGACCATTCAATATGGAACTAGTCTGACCATTCCTCCTGAAATTGCTCGCCTTCGTTCCTATTTGACTTCCCTCAGTTTGATCAAAATTTCTTCTAGCCTTACTCTTCCTTCAGAACTATTCAATCTGACTAATTTGGTTAGTCTGTCCATTATCTCTTGTGGTCTAGAAACACTACCTGATGCCATCAGTCAATTGTCGGCACTCAATGAATTGGATTTAACTGGAAATCGATTGACATCAATACCAGTGACATTGGCACAGATATCTCTTTTAAGAACATTAGTTTTGAATGCCAATCCTGGACTTACTTCACTCGATAATTTACAAGGTACACAGTTTTTGTGGAATCTAAATGCATCAAACTGTTTCATTGATCATTTACCAATGAATGTGAGCAATACTGGTGTGATTGAATTGAATGGGAATCAACTCACTTCATTGGCTAATCTCGAAACAATAATATCCGATATTACTACAGTAATTAGTTTGAAGAACAATAATATAACAGTTCTTCCCACTACAATTCGAAAAGCAACAAAATTAGAAATTCTCGATTTATCCAACAATCAATTGACTGAATTACCCGAAGTGGTTTATAGTCTGTCAGCATTGAAAACACTTATTCTATCGAAAAACTCATTCAGTCGTTTGGAAATCGAATGGATTCAAGGTCGTTTTCGAACCATGAGTGCGGTGGTCATTTTATGATTTCATTGGTAATTGAGAAGAAATAAAAGTAAAAGACGGATGTGGGTGTGTGTGTGGTGTAGATGAGCAGAAGAATCACACCCACACCCAATTATTAAGGAATAGAAGAAAATGTTTTTCTCATCTGATGTGGGAATTTTTTCGATTCTGGCTTTCAGGTAGCTGTTCTTGACTTTTCCACTTCATCTGTTTTAAGCTATTTCTAGGCAACTTCCATGTTTTCTTGCAGAAGAAAATACTGTAAAGGTCGTGTATGAAGAAGTTCCTGACTTTTTCTGAGGTTTTTCTTGTCTGTAACAGTGTACCAGAGGATGTTCCGAGAAAATTATCAAGAACTTTCCAAAAAAGTGGTTGAGTACCTATGGATTCACCCTTTATTCCAGGAGATAACACAAATATTTTGAATACTACATCCAATGAATTTTCTACGAAAACAAAGTTCGTTGAAGATCTGTTTTCTCTATATGAGCCCGCAACATTAGTGAAGATGCTTTAGAAACGAATTGTGAATTATCAGAAAAAAATAAACAACGAACTGGTTATTTCTAAGAAAATAAGACTGGGTAAACATTTTTGTCCATTGTTTCAATATCTCTTTCAGTCGCACAATGTAAAGATAACCCTAACATATTCCAAAACTTTATCTCACATATAACAAAAATGAACTTTCCGAAAATACCGATTTCGATGTGTGTACAGTACACAAGTTTTAGAAACATTCAGGAGTCGATCTGAAATATTGCTGTTAGCCTTGATAACTAATATGAATAAATGCCGTTTGCGGCGAACTTCCTTTTCTTACAAAATGCATTACATCCAGTGTTCAAAATTATTATGCTACCCTTCCGCAATAACATTATTTTTAAACCTGTTATGTTTCTATTTTAATCCATCTCGATTAAAGCTGAAATATTGACAAAACTTGTGAAATACACAAATAAAAAGAGAATCAAAGACACTTTATTTAACACAAAAACATATTATGGGCTTCCTTTTTGTTACTGAAAAATTATTTCAAAAGTGTCGAATTATTAACGTAAAATATTGTATTTAAACGTCCAATCAAATACGAATGTTCTCATTACATAAGCAAAGATCATGATGAGCATGAGCATAAGCATCAGCACCAAGAGAATGAAGATGAAGAGAGAGAGCAATATCACCATCAAGAATACAAAAATAAAAATAACATGTTGCATCATCACGCTTTTTGAAATCCTTGGAAAATTCATTATCACGATAACGTTCCCAATCACTCTTAGACCAATTCTTCCAATTTTGTAGCCATGCTAAACTTGTTGAATCACCTATATAATACCAATCACGGCATTTGTCACATTTGGCGCAAAGACGACCGTTACAGGAGCTCTTTTCCATATTAACTGATTCGAAAATATTTACTTCGTCCATACCTATAAAAAATACATCATTGAAGAGTATGGAAAATTGAGTGTAGAGTGATCCAATTTTCATAAACTCTTTTAGAATTTATGAGTTTCGAAGACTCTTTCATCAATCCTTCGAATGGGTATATGAAGGGGTTTATTATGCTACAGTTTTTTTTTATTATAGTACACTTGTTGGGTGAAACGAATTCTTGATGTTCTAAAGGTGATAATTATCTACATTTAAAATAGTTTAAAAGTAAATGTGGCAGCTTTCCTTCTGCGAGGCCATATTGGTAATGTTCAAATGTCTATAAAGAAACACAAAAAAATCTCTCCCTATCCTAATAAATCCGTACATGTCGAGATCTCGAACTGACTTCAGATAGAGATTATTCTATATTTACAGATAGTCACAAACAAGACATCGGGCATCCGTAATTTATGCAAACACACCAATAGTCAACTTTGTATGATCACATGTAAGTTATTCATAGAAGCACACAATTTTCATAGAAACATATTTCGAATTCCTTGTCAACAGATGAAGTAGATGCATTTATAGTGAATGCTATAGACTGATTAAATTCATTTTGTTTTAGCCTTACCAGATATTAACATACGTGTTTCTCCTTATTTTAAAAATGTGGCTTTGCCTTCACTAGAGAAAACAAGTAACATGTATTCATAACCACTAATTGGCATAAGCGTCTTGTGTGGTTCTTCAGTTGTGTCTCAGAAGCGGTGAATACATCGATGAATCCTTATTTTACCTGTAGCCATGTTAAATAATGCAGAGGTTTAAGCAGCTGATGGAGAGAGGACAGTCTGAAAAGACAAATAAAGAAAGCAATCACTATTATTGCCGCTAAAATATTATATGTTCCAAATCTTTTTGAATGAATCAAGAATACAATGCTCTACGGGTCAAATCTTTTCATTCTTGAATTAGGCAAGCTGAAGGAAGTAGATTTGATGCATTCTATTAGTGTCTAAGAAACTAATTTACAATGGGCATGATGACCATAATGGACTTGATAGACATAATGAGCATGATAATCGCATTGCTGTAGACTGTCGCAGTGCATACACAGAGTACCTCATCGGCACTTAAGTGAAATCTCTCTATGCACATCAGAATGCCATCCTCCTCATGGCTTCAAGAAAGAACAAATGTATCCTCTCGTTCTCTATTCATATCGATGCTCTTTATTTTTCTTCCTTTCAGCCCTGCCATATTTTTATTATTCATCTACATTAATTGTTAAATATATTCACATTATTGGCACTCTATTTCATTGAAAGCTTTTTGTATGTACACTTATTCTTGCTCAACTGTCTATCTATGTGCTTGGAATTGTTGTTAAATGTCTGTCTGTGCATCCTCTTTTGTCTTGTTGAGATTTTTTTTCTATATAATGATTGTACTATCACACGCAAACTGGGAAGCATGAGAAAACGTGCTCTAAAATAGACAGGTAAGCTCGTTTTTGGATACATGCACGTATTGAGAACTACAAGCTAAAGAAAACTGAATTATTTTTCTTCTGCACATAAGTCGACATGAATCTGAATCGGCATTTTTCTATTCGTTTCGGCCTTTGCTACAAAGACATAAACCATACTGTTATGTCCAGTATGTTCTTGGTGGTGTCCTAGAAACTTCTATAACGCACGATATGACATGAAATTCGTGTACCATTCAAATTTCTTTAATTCTACTTATCAGGGACGGTCTCCAAGTAGGACGCGCCATCTTAAATCGAAATTATATCAGCTCCTAGAGTTGAAACAGCTGATTCTAACGGCATAAAGCATTCTTCTATATGAGGGTTAAAATCAAAGAAAATCAATTAGTCTTACTTGTGAGACCTCATATTCGGCATATTGAAATTTTACATGTAGCCAAGATATATAGCATAGCGTTCCCTTAAAATAATTCATCTTTTTTATGACGTCATATCCGGACAAGGCATTTGCGCAATAATCTTATCATTCTCTAAACTATCAAATGAAATATGCAATGAAAAGTATAAGACTGTCAATGACCAGATGGCACTTGTCACACTCTAGAGTGTTTGGGGTTGTTCCTTCAGTAGAATTTTATTTTTCTATCAGATGTCAAAATCGGGTATGAAAATAAATTATCTCAATAGCGCAAACTAAATACAATTGGTAAAATAATATGTACCCTTGACGAATATTCAAGCAACGTCGTAATCGAAAAAAGTGCAAATACTCCGGCTGTGAATACAATCCAACACAAAATAACTTATTTGAATTGCGACGAGCGCACATTTTTTATCTCTTCTTTAATGCTGTGATTACCCATGCATGGAGCTACTTTCTTTCACTTTCATACTGGTAAGACGTATATAATTTTTCTTTGCTTCTGTCAATATATATATAGACATGTGTATGTACACGTCATCCTTATAAAAAATAGTCATACATTACGTAAGTTATTGATTATTATTATTATTGTATGTCAAATAAAATGAAGAAAACGTCAAGAAATTTTATTGGCCCAGAACAATGAATGATTAGTCATGACTAACGATAAAGAAAACTCTTGGGTTTATATCTTAATGACAAACTGGATAGAGGTGGAGTAGCTTACCGCCACTCTCGGCAAGAGATATATTAGAACAATAGAAAGAGAACAGAAGGAGGAGGAAGAACAATCATCGAAGCGTGCCATCAATATTGGCACAGTCATGTTTGCCGATTAACTGTATAAATCTTGAGGGTGTTAAATGGCCTAATAAAAGTAAAATTTCATGTAGCATTATTGAAACGTGTTGTTGATGAAAGACATGGATCGACAACACCGTCCAGATACTATCAGCAAGAAAAATACATCCTTGTGCGTCTAATCTCTTGGTTGAGAGAAATATACATCTTTCTATCAACGAAAATTTCTATAGTTGCTGTTAAAGAAGCATCAATAAATATGATTTATTTTTCTCATTACTAAGAAAAGCGGACGCCGAAATAATATACATGTATCCACAATAGTTGGAAAAGAAGTACTCGGTGGTTGTTGCTCTAAAAACATACAGGGACAATAAATGCTTTACTTATCTATTAAACTAGTATGTAAAATGTTGGAAATAATGATGGAACAACGACAATTGAAATGATCGTATTCTCTTATATCATATGGCCGAATTTGTGCTTTTGTTTTATATTAGACAGCGCAGTGTTTGTGGTATAGAGTGAAAAATTTCAAAAGGAAATAGTTCTTGTGACAGGCTTCTCTTTTTTGAATTATTACAAGCTGTATAAATAAAATGTGTTCCTTTCTACTTGTTATTCTCAAACAGACCATCATTGTCTTTTTCTATGCGAAAAGTCAAGACGATATTGATTTTAATGATAAAGGGTGTGGGTGTGAATGAAGAGGGGCCCCAAACACACACCCTCATTAACAACGGTTCATTCATTCGATGCATTTGTCCTGGGATTAAACACTTTGAAACATGTCGGCTACTGCGTCATGTACAAAAATATTTTCGCCATCTTATACAATCAGAAAACGTATAATAAAAAATTGAGAAATAAGCAGCGTTATATGCAAATATGCCGGTTAATATTTACTTCTGTCATCAGCGTTTTTCCTCTTGCATGATTAGTTTAAGGAGTTTTCATTGTGTCAGAAGAGACAACTTTGAGAAAAGAAAACAAATCACAAATTAATGAATAATTGAATGTTTATTTATCAACCAAACAAAGTTAAAGAGAAGAAAAGAACGAATATATTGCTTATTAAACTTGAGAATGGATGAGGGTATTTTTTCTTCTTTTACAACCACATTCTCAAGATAATGCATCTTATGGCGTTAGTATATTTTTTCCTTGCATTCAACATATATTTTATCTTTATAGTCCTGGTTTTTTCCTTTTACATTTTGATTATTTACCTCGAGTAACTTTCATTCAAATACATGAATGCGGTACATATAAATAGTAAAAGCATCAGTGTAGATTGTGTGTGCAGACACTCTTTTACAGTTTTCTTTTGTTCATTTCTGTGTTGTAGTCGAGATAAGCATGAGAATGAAATTAAAAGTATGCATATCAGTGACCGAAATCGAATGATACTTCTAGAAAAGAGGTCGAATCGAATCGATTCTTTTTTTTCAGTTTCATTCGGTTATTCGAAATCATTTTCTGTGTTCTAGTGTTATGGTCGAGAGCAGTTGACTAGTATAAGAGATGACGAATGAAACAGGACGTCCGCTGTTTCTCTTTTTTTGTTGGGTGTGGGTGTGGGTGTCTGCCTTCTTTTTAGACAGACCCACACCAACACCCACACCCTCAGACATTTTTACTTTTTATTTAATATACGCCTCTGAGGGTGCAGGTGTGGATATTCATGATATTAAAGGGCAGATACACCGAAAATCACATCCACGCCCACACTCACACCCAAAATGATGTAAGTTTTTCAAAAAAAGAGAGGGGCAGCGTGTGGCATCTTTTTTTTTAATTCGATCCATTTCGGCCCAGGAACGCCCATTGAGACCTCTGTTGTCGTAGCTGGTGGTCAAGGACAAGGAAATGGTCTTACACAAGTGTCATATCCCGGAGGAGTCATTGCCAATCAATTGGGCACTGTCTATGTGGCTGATGGAGGGAATACTCGAATCATGCGTTGATTCAAACGAGGAGCCACAAAGGTAAATATGATTGTGGGTGGAAATGGTGAAGGAGGACGACAATCGAATCAACTCAATGGGCCCATCCGTTTATCATTCAATCGACACGGTAATCTCTATGTCATCGATTGCGGAAATCATCGAGTACAAAAATTCAATATCGCTTCAATTTGAATTGTTTGAAAGTATTTGATATCTTGAGTTACTGAAATGAAAAGAAGTACACGCACACCCAACAGTGACCATCTTGAGGGCGTGGGTGTGGGTATGGAGTTTTCCATCATGTCCTACACCCCTCTGTTTTTGAAATTTTATTCGACGGATCGTAAAATTATAGTCAAAATCAATATTGTGCCCCCTCCCTGATTTGAAAGCCGAGTTACGCTTCTGGTCTCTTTAGGTAGATCTGATCAAAATAGTTATCTTTTTGTGGAACTCACATATATTTTCGAAGAAAATAGTGAGTGTAAGTTGAAGTGCACGGATTTTGCAGCTACCCTGTCCTGTACCCCACTCCCACTCCCCATTACAGACATAAAACATGAAAAAAACTAACACTTAGGTGCACTAGTTAAATAAAATTTTGGTACAGGTCAATTGCCTATGTTCACTACTACTCATATCAGTAATTAAAATCTAGTTTCACTAAGTAGATATCCTCACAATTAGGATTTAGTATCTAATTAATCTTCAAAATCTGTCGTTTTTATTATTATAGTTCATAGTTACGACTGTCTGGTATATTTTTACTATTACACAAACTAGCAACCACTGTCAACTATGATTAGATATATTAAGGATTATCTGTCATAGATTAAAAACATTAAGCATTGTCTTCGACTATTTTTATTAATAGTAGAGTAATATTTAAGTATCAAATTTATTTCATTTTTTTTTATTTCAAGATCAAAGGAAAATATGAAATATTTCTTCAAAATATTATTTTACGCCAATAACTTCAAAAACATTCTCGAACTCTAACTTAACTGTAGCTTTTTCTAATTAAATAATTTCAAAAGTATTCATAGGTTATTTAAATGAAAGAAATTCTAAGTTTCACCTATTCAGTTATTTTTCTGAATAATCAATATATAATTTTTATGTCAGATATAAAATCCTACC